TCATAAAAAAGGTCTTTACGGGATGGTGTTAACGCTTATATGTCGGGCAAGATTCGCCTGATTGTCTTAAAAGGGGACATATCAGCTTACACTTTTCGTGAAAATAGTTTTCTCATTTTTTGCTGGTGTAAAAATGGGAAATGGATGAAATATCTGAAAAAATACGCTATCTGATGCTTTTTCATTATAAAAAAGGTAAAACATATCGAAAAATTTGTGAGAATGCTGTGAGTAAACGAAGGACTCAGGAGTGGTTTGCTCGATTCCAATCCGGAAATTTCGGAAGGAAAACAGGCGCGAATGTTGTCAGGAATAGGCGAGGCACTAGACATCAACCACATGGCAGTTTGGAATCGTTTGAAAAGAACAGGCTAAAAAAGGCAGCTCGAAACCGCTAAGACTCTCTTTATGTGACCCAATAGATATGCTCTTTTAAGGTATTAAAAAGAATCGACTGTTTTTTTTATTTATCTCGAGAAATTTGTTCCAGTTTTTTAATCTGTCAAACTTTTCTCGTATTTTTCGGACTATAAGACGCAGAAAAATATATTTTAATGTTACTTTGGTAACAAAATTTTTATTTATTGTTAACATAACTCGTACTAGCAATATTCAATTGATTTTCACTCTCGGCATCATCACTCGTCTCGTTAATGTCACCATTCGTATTAGTTTCATATGAACTATTGTTGTCGTACCTCACGTACCTTAAAGTTAGAGACAATTTATTGAAAAAATGTTTTCATGTTACCTTTGGAGCATGAGGCGCACCTAAAATTTGAGTCCATTTTCCTATGTAAATCTATGAGTCCGGTACGGTAAATTTGTAATTAACTTTCCTTTTCGCTTAGTTTCAATAAGCGACTATAAGTTGCTACACTTTGTACCCCCATATGTAAACATTTGCAGCGAAAAGAATATTTGCAATCGTAGACAAGAGATTTCAACGACTACGCATCGTTCTGAGAGACTTATGTGTTTTCTCATCCAGCTTATGGAATGTTTTGAACAATTTAAACAAAGTTTGCAATCTACTCGTCCAAAATCCATCTACTAGTTCAAAGTGCTGCCCGGTGGGAAAGCGGCGCTTTCATGCAAACTTACTTAAACTAGTATTTGATAATCTGCGTAATCGTATAATTTTGGAAATAAAATGAATAAAATGAGAAAAGAGAGTCATAATCGTAGAAATTTCACTCTCACTTCTCTCACTTGATTTGTTATCATTTTACTTTCTTCTTCGTTGTTGTATCCAATGTGTGTGCAAAAGATACCGCGAATGAGATAATAATAAGAGCTTGTGATTGTTCATCATTGTAAAACGTGAACGAGTGAGTGAGTGAGTGATTGATTGAGTTAGTAAGTGAGTGTGTGAGTGAGTGAGTTAGTTTAATTGTCTGCAAACAGATATGATTTACGCTAATTTCATGTGAATTAATTAACATGCTTGGCATTGGATTTGATGCGATATTTAAAAATAGATAAAAGCAATAATTTTCTCATTGCTTCAAGTTAAATTAGATAATTTTTAACTTAATGCCAGACTGGGCTATTAATGAAAATCAAAGAGAGAGAGAGAGAGAGAGAGAGAAATGTAGCGAAAGAGAATAACAGTGTAATAACCACTATTACCAGCCATAAAGAGTACAATAAAAACTACATAAGCAATTTTATTTTTGTATTCAGTCTTTTGTTTAATTTTCATGGAGTCAACATACATATTTATGTATACGACGAGTGAGACTCTTGTATGCATTGTTGATGTTGACTATTTTCAAAGTTTGGAGACGAACGCACATACAATGCACATACAAATACATATGCACATACAAATGGATAGATAAAAGTACACAAGCAATACGATATGATAATAAGAAAAAAAAAAAAAAACAAAAAAAAAACAAAACACTCCGACCCGAACCTAACCCAATATACTCTTGTAATATAATGCATACATCTACACAAAATTATTGCATATGTATTTAAGTGTGTGTAAAAGACAAAATAAACATAAGTAAATGTGTCTGTAAAGATGTCTGCGCACATTTTATTCTCTTAGTGTTTTTGATTTTACATATTCTTATTTTTTATTTTTACTTTTTTTTTTTAAGTGGGAAGAATTTCGCATATCTCGAATAAATGTCCATCGGAATGGCGAATAGAGCTTATAATTTATTACCTCATATTTGAATTGATTGAAATGCCGGGGATAAGAACAGAAACGATTTAATGCAAGTGTATGTCTAGTCCACATAGATTCATGCTTTTGGGCGAGAGTTGTTTTTTGCTTTTTCTTTTATTTTTCTTTTTTCTTGTTCTAAGATTTATGAAGATGTGATAAGGTGACTTTGAATTTCGCTTCGACTCTGTTTGGGAAAACACTCTCACTTGTTTTCCTTTTTCATAAGCGTATAAGAATAAGCAACAATAATAAAAACATACGCGAATAATACATAAAAGCGAATACAAAAAAAAAAAAAAAAAAAAAAAAAAAAAAACAGTAGAATGCAATGATATAAAGAAAGAAAAGATACATTATTATAAATTATTGTGCATTGTTCTTGTTCGTCTGCAGTGTGTATCGTAGATAGACAGAAAGACAGCAAGAATAGAACGTAATGCAAGCAAAAAAGCAAAAGCAAAATTTCAAGTCGTTACTTTGCATTGTTGTTTGCATGTAATTGCATTTACAATTTTATGCGGATAACCACGGACTCTCTCTGCTGACGATAGTAGTGCGTCTTTATATAAACGCTTGGGTGAAAAAAGGAGTAGTAGAAAAGTAACAAACATGCATATATGCTACGCATGCTTCAAAATGACGCAAATCTGGTAAATGCATTCGGTTTGAAGGTGATGTCAAGAGCACAGAAGACCGAATGCATTTTTGACCGTCAGAGGTCAGATTCTCGAAATTTTCGCGTTCAGTAAATGTTACGCAATTACATTTGCTGAAAAATAACCCACGACCATGAAAAAATAAAACCACAATCTGGAAAGAACCAGATTACATTCTCAGAAATGTCAGTCAGTTTGATGAATATAAGCATTTCGCAGAAAAAAAGGAAAGGATTCTTGCAAACGTCCATTCTATGAGAAATTCTCAGAATCAAATTTGACATCAATTTTCTCTACTTAATTTGATATCTTCTTCTAAGAAGAAGAAGATTCCTAAAAGAGATAAATGGAAGACAAATTTTTCTGTGATCTTCTATCAAAAAGACTTCCGAAGAATCCCAATGGTCAGTTGCTTTTTTTGGGTAACAAAGCAGACGCTCTGAAAACCGACACAACATGCAGCAAGGACGCACGGATTTATTTGGTAGCTTTTACCGCTTTATAACGCAGAAGACCTGAACAACAAAACAAAGCCGCAGTGATTTATTTGGTTACCTTTTCTGGATAGTAAGAAGGCGTTCCGAAAACCGTATAACATGAAACAAAGTCGCAGGGATTTATTTGGTTGCTTTCTGCAGGATAATAAAAAGAAGAAGTTTTGCACACCAATACAAAGCGAAGCAAAGTCACATGGATCTATATTTCGTCTTTTTGCAAATTGACTCGAATTTTATCTGAACGAAATTAACTAAATAAAGAGAATTTTGTCTTAGGAAATCCATATCGAACAAAATTACCGCGAGTATCTATTATCAAAGTAATGTGACTCTTATCCTTAACCGAGGATCGTTTTATGTACTTCTACTAGTCTTCGTCCCGCTATTATGTGTGTGTAAGTGTGTGTAACAATATATGTATGTTATATTTACCACTTTTACGAATGCTAAGCATAAGAAAAAGGTCGACTTAAACTACCGCAAATCTTTATACCGCAAAACTGTCTATTGCAAGAAATACAACGAGAAAACAAAATATGCAATACAAATGGATATAATTTTTTGTCTGTATATGTTGAAGCTAAAAAAAAAATGTATATAAAAGGGAAGACAATAGAAATTAAGAATAGCCGCAAAATGAAGTGGAGAACAGAACAACTCACTCACTTGCAGCTTAGAACAATATTCATGCGTACATGTGTGTGTTAGCTTAAGACAGGGAAAGCCTCTTATTGGCACCCATTTTCTTTTAGGGAATTTTGTGAAAAACAATTAAAAAAAAAAAAAAGTGGCGACTGAAGGGACTCGTCTTATAACGGAAAAAATGTGGTTGGCATTAGAAAGTTCTCGGAATTGAAACTGATAATGTATATGAAAAAAAAACTCCTTTATTTTGTAAATCGTGAGAATAGCTTAATCAGTTTCTTAACCCTAAAGTGTTCTGAACGAAAGCTAACCTTAACCGTTTTGAGTTCCTTTAATCTGTAAGTAAATCAAGTCTTTTTTCTATGCTTCGAATCCAAAGTTAGTGAAAATGCTTTATAAATCAAACAAGGGATCTTTTCTTATATATATATATATATGAAAAACCTAGGCATGGATAATTAATGGCACGCTGACGTGCCTTGATACCTTATACAGAGAACTCTTAGAAACTCTCAAGGCCACGTTTTCTAAGACTTATCTATATACCAGATAACTGACTTTGGGGGGTTTTTGCTATGTGCCTTTATTTTTGCAATTATTGAAAAATTGCAAAAATTTTAATGCACCTTCCAAACTTATATTTTGGAGAAAGTAGGAAACTTTGATTTTAAATTCCATCCGGATTCTACCTGCATCCATTGCATAGTATGCGAAAATAAAGGAAGTAGGAAGAATAAATTGACTTTTCATTTGTATTTCAGTGACCTGGGCTCTTGTGTCAAAGCGAGGTTTGAAATCTCTGCTTAACGATTGTAAGTATGGTTAAGCGTGTGTTTCATTTTCTCAAATATGAAAAGACAAGCGTTGACACATAAAAACCTTACGCGTATATGAAAATGTTTTAAATAAAATGCTCAAATTCTCTAGCTTTCCATTATTTGTCGCCCATCCATTTTGCCTTGCACAATATATATATATATATATATATATATATGAAAGAAAGATGGATAGCTTACTTACCTATTTCTTGACCAGCTTCGTCAAAAATTTCTTTCTTGGCAAGATTGAGAGCTGGTTTTTCGCACAATACACTTTATTGTTGCAAAATTACGTATTTTGTAGTTCATATACTCTGCATAATGGTATGTATCTCAAATGCGTGTATACGTCTCTCTGTCGGTACATTACTAATTACTATGGAAATAGGGAATATTTGCTTCGATACTCTCGTATAAAAAAAAAACAAAAAAAAAAAAAAACTTTTTATTTTTTATTCTTTAATTAAAAATAATTTTTATTTAATTTTATTTTTATATTTATATGTACTGCACATTTCTTGTATTTCTTCACCAATTCTGTTCACAATTTTTGCTCATTTCACTTCATTCACACATTTAAAACCGTTTTGTATGTGTCCGTACGTGTGTGTAGACAAATGCATACATATAGAATCTTTTTCTATATATTTCTTTTTGCAGTCAACTTTGTATGCACATCCACGTTCGCGACTTTGCCATTATTATTATTATTATTGTTGTTGTTGTTGCTGCTGTTGTTGTTATTATTATTGCTGTAAATAGCTGCTATTTTTATGTTACATTAGCGAGGGCTAAACATGGACTTGACTTAATCTGCACACAATGCACCGTATATGTCAGAAGAAATACACTCGCTCCCAGCCCCACTAAAAAAAAAGTTCTGGACTATTCAAATTAAGTTTTGCATGCCGTATATAATATATTTTCCTTTACATTACAAGAAGATATTTTCACTTTTCTTGTTGTTATTGTTGCCGTTTTTCATTTTCACACTTCTTTAATTGCACGCATCGCTGGAATTGCTTTATTCTTACGCTTATGTCCCTCTCGTATAACTTCAATACCTTTGCAATGAAGAACTGTTTTTTTTTTCCTTTTTTTTCTTTTATATAGATAGAAAATATTTGAAAATTAAAAAAGAGAGAGAAAAAAGACAACCCACACGAACGCACAAAAATCTCAAACTAAATTCTAAGAGTTTAGCGGTGCAGTGTTGCCAAATTTATATATTTTCAATTTAAAAAATCCCTTGGATGAGCAAAGGAACATATCGATTTCGATAGATAGTTAGATGTGCTTGCGTTGCCACAGGTCCACGATAATATCAATTTAAGTTAAATATCCGTTACGATCCTTATTATTTGAAGGTTTTGAAGAAATTATAATATGATATGTATTTTAATTTTGGCTGCTTGCTAAAATATGCCCACTAAAATATGCATCAAATACAATTTGCTTCTGCAATCTGTCTAATTTGTATCTTAATGATATTATTCTCTGTATAATTGGAGAATTTATTAATTATTCTTTCTCTTATTAGTTTCGATTTTTTATAATATCTCTTCACAAACCTTCTTGTGCACTTTATCTGATGTACGGTGAGTACTAGCACTAGTTGATGCGACCACGGAGTCGTGTGATATCATTAAAAAATGCTTATTGCGCAATTGGCTTTGACATGTTCCGCCTCTAGTATGAGCGAGTGAATAAATACGTGCTTCTACGTCTACGTCTAGTCCCTTCTGACTAGAGAAACTTAAGGTTACCACTATGACGTGTTGTTAGGTCAAGTCATAAGCAATTTCCGATGCAGCTAGGCAGAATCTATATCCACTATAAGTTACCGAGGCAAACGTGCTACATGATAGATGAGGATTGAGTTACTCTTCTTTCATCTGTATTATATATTGCATGTTACCTTCAACTGTTTTTCTTCATCTCTGAATGGAGGCTCAAGAAGGGCATATTCCGCATGTAACGCTTTAGGAATTTAATTATGGCAATAGCGCTAAGGCGACAGTTGAAAAAATATGCGCCGTATACCGTGAAAGATTGATAACTCAGGCGGGCAGTTAGAAATTGGTTCGTTAAATTCCGTGCTGGAGCTAAGACCTTAAAAGATGGGACGTCTGTCTTTGACGACAACCTTTTAAAGGCAATGCTGACGTAAAATCCACGCCAATCAACAAGAGGTATAGCAAAAAAGTTGCATGCCTCACAATCTCAACTGTTAAATTAATATAGTTTTGCTATTCAATGAAAACAAAATAAATGTTTGATAAGAAAACGGAAGTTGCTTATGAGTCGACCTAATATATTGTAATAATTGCCTTTATGACTACCATTATAATAGGTTGATCTAGGTAGGTTGCTTTTATCTCATTTGTGGTTTTGGGAAGAGGTTTTCTAAGTACACGCCTAAATCAAATCCATAAAATTTATTAGAAATTTTGATTTTGAACGCCTATGAAGTTAAATGGAATGATTTATAACAATCCGATAGTTGCTGATTAAAACCTATGGCTGCTCCCAAGTAACACAGATCCGAAATTCATTTTCCAAATGTCGGTTTCCCTGTCAGCCACTGCCCGAAGTAGTTCTCTGTATTATGTAAAAAAGATTCCCCGTGAGAAACAACCAAAAACATTATAATCGGATGACGTCGACTATTGCATATCCTATACCACTTCGCCGAGTGCAGTTAATCGCTCGTTTTGATAATAATACATCCAAAATTACACATTATTTTCATGAAAGCTTAGATTTTCTCTCCATATAAGAGTTTGTGTTGCGTGATAGCGCTTATGTATGTTGTGGTCCAAGAAGTAGACCTATGTAATCCGAATTCGGTATCATTAATTTTTCGCTGAAACGCTACTATGAATTAATTTGCATCATAAAATATTAAAAATTTAAAAAAAAGCTTTTTTCGAAGAGCTTGCAACTCCTGCGGCATCTTATATGGAGTGGAGCCAAGAAATAGATGTGGTTCATCCAAATTTTTGTCACAAAACAATTAACAATTAGAGTTTTTTGGCATATAACGGTTTACATTTCATGAGTGTGCTTACATGTGATGGCATCTAAAACATGGATTTCTTTGTCGATTTTCTATTATGAGCCAATTTTCATCGTGAAGTAATGGAAAATCGAGTTTTTTACCATATAAAGCTTTAGTTTCCGCCGGTTCAAAATTTTCACTTCAATTTAGAATGCCGGAAAATTTTGAAAATTGAAATTTTTCCCCACATAAAGACTTTTCAGTATAGGCCGTTATGCGGGGAGTGGTCGAAAAAGTGGACCGATCCGAAACATTTTAATAGCGTTCGTCCTTGAGCTAACGTACGTCAAAATATCTCACAAATTGCGGCCATCAGCTTGAACACAAATTTACGTGGACCGCCACCGGACGAATAAACGAAAGGACAGACTTAAATCAGTTTAGTTTGTGATTCCGAATCGATCGGTATAATAAAAGGTGGGCCTAGAAGTGGATCTATCCGAACCATTTCCAATAGCGTTCGTCCCAAAATATCTCAAAATTTGCGGCCATCAGCTTGAACACAAATTTACATGGACCGAGATCAGGCGGACAAAGGGACGGACGGGCTTAAATCAGTTTAGTTTATGATTCTGAATCGATCGGTACAATAAAAGGTGTACGTATCTTAAGCTGTACTGAGCGTTACATGCGTCCGCAATAACTTAATATATCCTGTCCCAAAAGTGGTGGAGGTATAATTATTTTGTAGCATTTTTGTGTAGCCTACTGTTGTCTCAAAAACAGATACATGAAACTGAGAACTTTGGATATTTTGATCAGGTAGCATGAAATTGCAGAAGAAGGATTTTGAAAAGAAACTTTTGTCAGAATCTAACTTAAATGGAAATGGATGAGCCCGTTCGTTTCACCCATATGATCGTCATAATCACATTCATTATCACAGCGATATTGATGAAATTGATTCTAAGAGAAGTACAATTTATATATATATATATATATATACATATATATATATAGATAGATAAATTTTCGCAAAACATTAGCTAAAAAGATGGTGACTAAGTAGACGTCTTCTTAATTGGCATACGAGTCTGTGTCTGTTTATGCGTTTTCTCATCTTTGGAACCATTAAAATTTGACACGTATACATTTAGTTGTTAAAATGACTATGATGAATACCTCCTCATTTTTGGGAGAAATTACAAAGAGGTGGAAGGCGAAAGTTCGAAAGCGAGCTGATTAGGATAATCTACGATTTGTGACAGATCCAGGGCTTATCGCAATAAGCTCTTGTAAAGGTTTTTTTGGACCTCTATACTATTTAAAAAGAAAAGTTTACGTTTGTCTGTATTCAAAATGTGCCTGACGGTGAATGCAAGCTTTAGTTGACCATTGGCGGTTTGGAATTGGTTTTTAGATTCAAATCAGGTGTGAGTTTTTGGATTCCATCTTTCGCATACAAACCCCTCAAAATAAGAAAAGAGCGAATAGGGAGCAACTAATATTGCGCCAACTTAAGTCCAAAAACTTTGTTTCATTACGAGACGAATTTCTACAAACGATAACGAACATCAAAAATATATAATCATCATCAGCTTTGAATCATTATTTTTTCGAGGAATTTCCAATAGCAAATGGGCTATTCATAGATGCCGGCAAGAGCATGCAGTTCCGAAAGACAAGTGAACATATTTTACCAGATATACTCGTCATCCAGATCCTTGATATACGGTTTAAATTAATATTTACTTACTGTTGAGAAATTTAAAAATTTCTTGGACCGCTTTGGACGCCATAAAAGCTTTACAATTGTTAAAGGCAAGCAGATATTCATCTAAATTTTGATAGAATTTATATAAACGTAGATATGTTAATCGAGACTTAAGAGATGTAAACCAGTTTTGGTAGCCGTAGAATCATTTAAATATCTGCCGCGAACCACACATACAGTCATACTGTTTTGTATGGCCTTTAAATGTATTCTAAAGTGGAGCTACACTACAAAACCTTTCTTGAAATTTTAATGGTAGCCGTACGGTCTTTATAAACTTTCAGATTTTTGCAAAGCTTTATTTCTTTGCATATAGGCTTTTCTCATATCGAAATAAATGTAATATAATGTATTATATGATATTTGATTTAAGGAGCTACATTAAATTCTAAATTTTGAAAACCTTTTTTAACTTTACAGAATATAAACAGTTAAAACGTCCGTGACCGTTGGTTTCTTGCGTTTACGCTTACGCGATATAAATAAATTCACCACATTATTAAACACTTTCTCGAAGCGATATTCTGTAGAGCCTAAGGGTAGACATTTCACACTATTTGCTGAAGAATTCAAGCTTGATTGTGTTGTTTCTGCTGCGGACACATTCAGTGAAGCCCAATCGTTCTCTTGATTGTTAATCCCATTTTCTTTTTCTGTCACTTCACCCAGTGTTTGCATTTATCTCCATCTTATTATCAATTTTGAAGTCATTTACATCCGTTTTATTATTAACCGTATGGTCTTTTTCACACTGCGGTGATTGAAAGATTGCCGATTATTGAGTATCAATTTCTTTAAACTTCTCATCTTGTGATATATTAGCAGAATTAATGGTTGGCACCACTTCTGTTGGCGTACTATTCACTTTGTCTCCATTGAATGATTAAGTTGAGGTAAATTAGAACTTGCATTAAGCATTTGTATGCTCTCACAATCTAAATTAGTTTCGTTCTTATTTATTCGGGTTACTTTTAGTGTAGGGCACCTTTTCTGTTGAAATTTTGTTTTAAGACTACTACTGTTGCAGTGTTCGCTGACAGAGCCTTCAGATTTCGATGAATATTCCTCTTCGTCATCACTGTCTGAATCCAGTATCCGTCTTTCTGAGTTTACACATTTTCGGCGTTTATGACGCGCGACACCGATGGAAATTTGAGAATAATTATCTGGCATCTCATCTACTTTATCATTAATTTTGTTGCTCTGTTCACTTATATGTTCACTTGAAGTGAACATTTTACTTGATGTGTTCAATTGTTCGGGTGTTTTTTCTTTACTGCATCTAGGTGTGTAGCAACTACACTTTTCTTTTGCTTGTCAATTGAAGATTTACCACAATTTGCTGATTCTTGTGGTATCTTTTCTTTTGCTTTTCTACCTACATCGGTATCTTGTACGAGAACATTTCTTTGTATTTGCTTCCCCTCAATACAAATGGTGCATTCCAGTTTGCTGATACTCTGATCTACTTTGAGCCTTTCGTTTAACGGTGTTTTAAATTTTTACAGGCTGACGAAGTAACTTGAGAGGTTTTACTATAGATTTTTGTGCAATTTCTGAAGACCTACGCATAAGAATGTCGCAAGGTTTATGATTCAAAGACGCTTTGGTAATTTCCGCACCTTTTTTAGGTGATGATGAGGAAAAGATTTCCTTGCAATTAATCCGAATCTACTCCGAATCGCGGTCGGAAGGCTTAACAAAGTTTGTATATTCCACTTTTTCAAATAGACTCAATTTGCTTATTTGCTCCGTCTTTTGGTCTTTCAATTGCGGATGTCTATCGCACACATCGCGTAACACATCTATATTTTGTAAATCGTTTGAACTTTTACTCTGCCATCCGGTTTGGCATGGGCAATTATATATATATATATATATATATATATATATATATATATATATATTTGTTTATTTGACGTATTCAATAATAACGGAATGGTGTTCGTTGAAGTAAACAATCATAATTTCTTAATTTAATATGCCTTACATTTTTTTATTAAATCCGTTAATAAATAAAATAAAACGTATAAAGAAAATTGATTTTGTCTTTTGCTTAAGCCCTTAAAATAGAAAATTATTTTATAATATATAATATATTCGATGCGATTCATTTAAATTTCCAACAAAAAAAAATTTAATGCTAATGAGTAAGTCTATTAAGAATCTATCTTGTCATGTCTTTTAATTCTTGCAAAAACTTGGAACTTTGCTTGATACCGATGAAAATGTGAAAAAATTACCTAATAGAGAATAAGAGACTTGACGTTCCTTCCGTTCAGATATTCGAAGCATTCCATGCGCTGGAAAACATATCGTTACTTCAATGTACGCGTAGATATACGTCATGAGATAGATAAAATAGTGACTATTTAATTATGTAATGAAATTCAATCGTTATATATATACATAAAATACTTTTGACTAATGATACGTACACTATTGTTCACAAAAATATTCTCTATAATATAAAAAGGGAGCATTTTAGTGAAATTGCTTTAAAGAGCGATTTATAAGGCACTATTTCGACTTTATATGTTTAGAAAATGTCTCCTATCCTTCTCTTCATATTAGGACATTGACTTAGCTACGTATTTGAAAAAAAAATTTCGTTTAATATTGAAAAGACAACGTGGTAATGTATTCTAGGCGTTCTACACTTTCGCTACTGTGCACTTCCCGCTAATAACTTAAAAATAAAATTTATAAAAATTTCATTATTGTTTAAACATATTTGTGAGATTTAGCGTTAGTGATGACAGAAATTTTCACCATATTGGTAGGTTGATGGTAGTGCATGATGATCTCTTTGATAGTAAAGATTGTGATGTGACGACGAACGTCTAGCCGGCATGGGACGACAATAGGTATTATATGTTGGAGCATAATTATCGTCTTCGCTGCTAAACAATGTAGCCGTCGGTGGGGTTGGCGGTGATAGGCAATTGGCACATTGAGTTTCTACTTCTTCTTCGCCCACCTCTTTATCGGCTACTGTCCAACAAAGGGTAGATTGTTTGGTCGAATCTTCTGAGGAACGTCTGCGTTGAAAACATTTTGTCGAAGGTGACGCTAACGGGCTGACGGTACGTTCATAACTACCCTCATCGCCGCTATCAACACCTGTCCTCAGAAAGGAACGACGTTTTCGCCGACCGCGTTCATCTAACGATGAGTTGTGTTTAACGTGGTCCTTCAGGCAACTGCCTTGAATTGAGTGATGATGTTGGTGCGTCCTCTGCAATTCAGCTCCGTAATTGTCATAAGCGTAAAGTTCTCGCTGTTGTTGCTGCTTTTTGCGTTGTTTATGTTCATTTTCTAGACGCGCACGCCATTCTTGAGCTGATACTTTCTGATTGTAAAGGGATAAATGGGACTGCAGTTGAGTTTGTGAATTGTTATCGTACAAATCTTGATAAGAGCTTCGACGCCAACCTTCTTCATACCGTCGTTGGGTATGTTCGTCTTCTGTGGTTTGGCGACGTTGAGAACGTGACGAACTACTTTCGGAAGAGTCCTCCCCAGAAGTACCAATACCTAAATCCTTTTCATCTCCATAAAGTTTGTACGGAGTGCCGAGAAAATTCTTCGAGTCATACGGAACATTTATGCCTGAGGCCGATGTATACCGCATAAAGTACGAGTTATTAAAATCTTTCTCTGCCTTCAATTTTTGCTCTATACTGGTTAATTCTTCTTCGTTGGCCTTGCAATCGCGACCGGTCCAAGTTTGCCAAGAACCAGGGCCGAATAAGGATAAAAGCACCGGTAACAAAAATAAGCCATGTAAGGCTCCGAATAGAATAACCAAAAACACCATTTTGAAAAAGACGAGAAAGATGTAGCTTCGGGCCAATAGTAAAGCAATAATGCCTAAAATAGTTGAACTGGATCCTTGAACAATTGGTAAACCTAAGGAATGCAATGATTCCCGTACCCGCGCCCGGGGACTTTTTTTATTCGATGACATATATGTATAGCAAATGTGAGCAGTGAAATCCACGGAAAATCCAATGCACATAATTAAATTTATCATGGATATTGAATCCAAGTTAACATCCCATAAAGCCATATAACCGGCTACACCCAATTCAATCGATATCACCGAGAAAGCAACCCACAAAGAACACAATATATTCGGTATGAATATAAATGAAATAATCATCATTATCGCAGCGCCGATGACCATAGCTTGGAGCGAGGTAGGACGCACCAATTCAAATTGATCGAAAAAGACAAAATATGGATGAAATATGGTAGCATTTAACGGAGAGTTTTTACAAATTCGCCGTAAGTCACGCACCATTTCCTTTTCATGATTCGTGTCTGTAATGTTGACGGCTTGGATAAGAAATCGCGAAGCTACAATCTGAGTTTCATTCTCACTGAACTTTACATCCAATGAGAAAGGATTACCAGGAAACAGCCAATACTCCTTGACGGCATTGATAAATTCTTGTTCGCTGTTAAGAGTTATATTCAAATAATCGTTGTTTCTATCTACAAAAGATAAAAAAGAACGTATCCACGATTCAGTATATAAGGACGAAGTAACGTAAGACGTGTTCTCCAAATTTCTTGTTAACTCTTCAATTTGTCCTTGTACTTCAGGATCGGAATAGTTTATAGGTCCGGTTATTATAACCTATAATTAAGAAACTTAGGCTAATTTAAAAAAAAAAACTTTCTTAAATTATTCGTATACCTGCATTCGGTAAGGGAACTCGCGATAGAAGTCATCTTCACGATCGAAGAACTCCACGGAGTACGAATCTGAACGAGAAAGTTTCCTTCTCTCCAAACCCTCTTTGATTTGGGTGATACCAAAACAGGCGCCAACGAGGTAAGCAGCAAAGACTACGATTATAACAAATTTACACCATTTATTGTTAATTATCGCGGCCAGGTTGTCTCTGAAAAAAGCCATTAGCACATGATCCTTGTTATCTACTGGATTATCAGGATCCTCACGGTTAATTCCGCCCGCGATAAATTTCTTATAGAAATAGTTACGCTTTTCTATAAGTAAAACGTATAGAAATATAAGCAAAAGCAATAATAATAAGCGGCCCACCTTTAATAGCTACCGACAATGACTGAACTTTGCAACCAAAGAGAGCGTGACGATTTTGATACTCTCTATATCCGGATATAGCCATGCAGGCAGCAAAAAATGTTATATGCCAGAGAAAAGTGAAACAAACTGCAAACACTGAATATTTGCAAAAAATTTGCACTGAACGGAATGGACTGATGACACCAATCCAGAAAGATATCATATCCGTTAGAGAAGTGATGGTAATGGACACTGCAGCCTCAGACATCATCTGACCCATGCGTTCGTGAACCGACATCTTTGGAGAAGTGCGTCGCCAGGCAGCTAACATAACAAACGTATCATCGATTCCAATACCTTCGGTTAAAGTTATTATAAGCACTTCCAAGTCTATTACGAGAATTCAACCCACCTATCATTAAAAAAGGAGCCGCCAGATTTATTCCAATAAACTCAATACCCAAATACATTGCTAAACCAAAGGCAGCACATGTAGCCATAACTGCTGACACGTTTCCAAATAAACCCAACCAAGGTTTCGACTTTACCGGATCACCCATCATACAAGTGACCACACTGCGAATCGCATTATAAGTAGTTACAGCTCTCATAAGTCGTTATTAAAACTCACCTAAATAAGGCCATCAAGATGAAAGTGGAGCTAAAATATGGCACCACGGTTTTTGTGTTCTTTTCCAATTCGTGATCTAATGTCCGTGAAGCAAAATATGCCACTGAGATATGTTTAAATATTCCCGTCTGTTCCGCCAGACCCATTGCGTTCAAAAATGTTTCTTCCCATTCGGCACCTCTACAAACAGTTTTTAATCGAATTGGAACGTAGTTTGGAACACAATCCTTTCTTTAAATAAACATACCTTTCGTCTTGCCTTTTCGTGTCGGCTGTAACAAAGTAAACTAGTTGTATGGCTGGTACACTTAATATCGTATTGTCTTCGTTGAGTTTAGTTCCGCCGAAGAAGACGGGAAAAGCGTGAGCATCCCATGTCACTGGATTGAACATCAGAGGAAATGTTAAATTCAATTCACCAGATTCTATCTGCAAGAAAAAGTTGAAAAGTTCGCGTCGTCATCTTGTAAATTCGCAAAAGCCTCTTTCATAAATCGATATTTCATAAAATTTATGCTATGAGAGTGCAACTGTACCAATGATGTGCTAATATAGTATATATCTCCGTTATCAGGAAAAACGAACTACCGGAAAAATCGCAATCCTAATTTTCCTATAATAAAAAAAAAACGACTTCAATCATTTAAAACGATCAAGTCTAACTAAGATTTCCAAAATATAATAACAACGGGGGTAAAATACCGCAAAAAAAGTTAATAAAATCAAAAAAGCTAAATTGTTTACCGAGCGGTTACTGTAGTTTATGAGTAAATGAAAGAAAATGCAGGAAGCAGAGGTCTCAGTTTAAACAGTGCAGTAGGCCGAGGATTTAGCCCGTTTTCGATACTAACGAGCGTGCAAGAACTCCCAGTCAATTTCAAGCCGATGGCTTCATTTCGCGGCCAGGAGAATGTTGGATTCAGATAATTCAAAGACAAACTGATAGACAGACGGACATGCCTAAACTGATTTAGAATTTAATGCTTATCAAAGTTGGCTTCAGACAATACAAAGCCGGACAGACGGACAGACCGACATGATCAAACTGATTCAGAATTTAATGCTTATCAATCAGACAAAGGCAGAGAGACGGATAGACGAACATGCTCAAACCGATTCAGAATTTAATGCTTATCAAGAATGTGTATACCTTATGGGGCCTCCGAAGTTTCGTTTGGGTTGTTGCAAGCCTTTACACAAAATGGTAGATCCTCATTTTTCAATGATTGGTACAGAAATGAAATAAATTCACGTTTGGTTTTCAAGCAAAAAATTTCTAGAACACCGGAAGCAATCAAACCCGTGCCATTTCCAAAGAGGGATAACTAACATGTGATCACATGTGGTTCAACATTGCTTGTAAAATTCAAGCATAAAGAAATTTCATACTATTTGTGATCGAAAGCTACGGATGAAAAAAATTGTGGTTGTCTTTTGCATTTGTCTCAATTATTTCTATATCTCGGGCCTATTGTTAACAGATCGCTACTATTTTTTAAACTTTTACTCTTAATAAATAGATCAGGAAATGTTCCTGTCATGTATATGTGAGTGCTCGTAAAATGGTCAGATCGAAACCATTTTTAAATAGCAATCGTCCTTAGGCCAAAATATGTCAATATATTAAGTTTTGACGAAACCTCCAAGAATTACAAATGTTTTCCCTTACTTTAGTAACAAAATATCTAGGAACGATATTACTAAGCACTTACATCATCCATTATATAATCCAGATTTAAAATATCATTTTCAAAACATTCGTTCTCCCAACGAGCGCAGGCATCCTTATAAGTAAACCGTTCACCATCATAGAGTACAGTGGCGTTTTGTATGATATCATCTAGGCGACGTAATTCTTGAAAAATCTCCCGTCTGATCATGTTTTCGTTCCCATCCTTTGAAGTTACTATGACGCGCCCAAAACGACCTGCCACCAAAGTACAAAAGTTATTATTATTGTTTTCTTATTTTATACACTGTTTCGCAGTATTTCTTAAAGCGCATTTTAAACGCCGCACCTAAATAGATCTTAACGATACGTGCCATGATAAGTAAGGAAACGTATTTCAAGTTTCATCATTACCGCTTAAATTTGAACATAGCAGAACGAAAATCGTACGCTGATTGAAAATAAACATCAACACTAAGTAGGTGGTGTTGTACTAAACGGGAATGACTCAAAATTAATTTCTATCTCCTAAGGGGAGCAAGGCGATAGAAGTGCACAAATTTGCTTTTATTACTTACTAAGAATGAAAAATTATAGTGAAATTATTGTATATTGAAAGTGTCACATCTGTGAAGATGCTTACTTGTGTGAATATGTATTAGTTAATGCATGTACTTATATCAAGAGTAATTGTAAACCAGACAGTTCTGCGGTCATCTTTTTAAATTCCTAAAGAATATTCTATTGCTTGAAAAATTTCGATTTCAGTTGCAAATTGAATTAAAGAGCGCGGACAATCATTCACATCTTCATTTACAATATATAAGCATGGCATGACGCAATACACATACACACATAAACAGATACATACACACGCACACACATACACACGTGCACACACGCAACCACACATTAAAGACAATACGCTGCTGAATTTTCAGCAAAGTAGAAAATAAGAAAATATTGCCTATAAAGGGATGATGAAAAAAGCTTCGAGCCAATCTTAGAACTGGTGAAGTGAAAATTGAATCTAAGCACCTTGATGAGGTCAGATCGGCAAATGGTGTGATATCAGTCTTCAACAGGCGGTTCAGTATTTAAGCATCAAAAACTATAAACACCGAACACTGACTCTGTCTGTGCCACAGTATTACTTGAAGCTGGCTACATTTAAAGTTGTCTACGTTGCGAATAGGTTTAAAAAAAATCTATAGTACAGAAATGTTACAGATGTTTAGAGATGGGCCGCATTGCAAGAAATCGCAAAGGAGAAAAGCAAGAGAATATACTAAAAGCCCGTGCTGCGCTACATACAAGGAATAAGGTATGGCGCGTAACTACCCCTTTGCTGACACAAGCTGCCCTATAAATGCCTGTGGTGATATGATTAAAATCCGATCAAGAAGATGATGCAAGTAAGCCCCAAGCGCTGCTGGATAGCACAAGAGTTGCATACATAAAATGTTACCGAACCACACCCAGTGGGGGTAGATTCGAACTGGATGAAGGACAAGATCAGACAAGGCGGCAATCTGGCAATGTGCTGAACAACCTTCTGGCATGCTACTTATGTCGTCAGACAAAGAACTTGAGAATGAAATGCTATCGGACGTATGTATATAGGTGTTATTTTCCTCCCGGTACGAGCCAAACTGGTTTTGAAGCAATTAGCTATGCGTTGTCCACAGACGGGCGGAGCAAAACGCCAGTCCTCATCCCAGGCGATTTTAATGCCTGGGCGACAGTAAACAGTAACCTCCCTTGATCCAGTAGTGCTCTGGGAAGAGACCCAGCGCACGTTTGGTAGCGATGGTCGGGGATCGGTAGTAGATGTAACCTTTGACAATAAGTAAGTATGTTCCCTTAATGGCCCCAGATGAAAATCCAGTGGGCGTGGTGGGGTAGCTTTCTATACGACCTAGCTGGTAAGTGATCATTGGTTCTTGCGTGGTCAAAGTCGAAACTAGCCCTAAGGGTAGTATTAGTAATGTTAGAGAAGACGCAGAACACGTAGACTTCGTTCTAAACATCAAAAACTACAAATGGAAATTGGGAAAGTTCCTCTTCCAGACAACCTCGTCACAAATACACGGCATGGTCGAAGAAAGTGGAAAGCGAGAGAAAGAACTATGAAACGACAAGTATCAAGGCTTGTAGATAGTGCAAACAAGGCGATCCTCTCTATGAAGACATCTCCAAGCGACGTAGGTGACATAAGTGCAGGTGATTTTTAGAGGGTTAAAGTGTCGCAATGCTACCCATGCGTGACTTTCCATGCTTGTTCATCTCAAAAGAACAACACACACAATATAAAAAAAAATCAAGACGATTTTCTGGAAACGTGTCTTCACAGTAGATGCGATAAAAGAAGACAAAGAGAGTTGTGCAACAACGAGACTGGTCCTGAAAAATACCTTTAAGACAGTTAACTGGGAGCATATATTGATTGCATTGAACGGATTACAAACACGTTCGTGCCAAATGCGAATAGTTGGCATTTTTCAATCCTAGAGGACGCTATTATATCACACATCAGAGGGTACTAAAAATACATGGCTACAACAGGTTTTCCTCAAGTGTCTCTGCCCAGTCCCTTATTTTGGATTATTTTGTATGACACAGCTTTGCTTATGGGTACGTAGAGGTGTGCTGATGACATTGCGATAGGGATCATAGCTAAGAAGTTAATCTAATCAGAACAGAAGCGATTATGGTTGTAAAAGATTCGCTCTTAGAAAATAAAGTACAACTGTGCTCGGAGAAGACAGAGGTGGAACTAACTACAAGCAGGAAAAAACCTGAGCATATCGCTTAATATCCTGACAACCAGCCAAATATCTTGGCGTTATGATAGATGTACGAATGACGTTTCCACGTTCTTATATCGACAAAGCACACGAGAAAACGAGTCGGATGCTCGCTGCTTTAAGCGGGATATCAGATATTGTCAGGCAGGGCAAAAACGAAGACTTTTATAAACGAAGGTGATGCAACGATAATGATGTATGTGGGTGTGATGTGGATAAACGGTTTACGCGGGTGTACGTATTTAAAGAACATCAATTGAATGTTCCGATTGCATGCAGAACGAGTGTATAGTGGCTTCCGCACCGTCTCGTATGAGGCTGCGGAACGATGCCATCTGAAGTGGCTGATCAGGCAAGCGACAGACACATACGATGCTTGAAAGCAATACATAAAACGCGATTTTCAGGAGAGGAAAAAGAGACAAATGTATCAGACGAGCTTGCATATTTGCAGGTATGGCAAACAGCAGATGGGCCTAGAGATTGATTCCCACTGCAAAGGAACGTGTGGAAATACAACACGTCTAGGTTGACTCTTTTTCAACGAAAACTTAGAACGGACGCCGTTGTTTTCGGCAGCATTTGCATAAGGGGCTTGATGGCGAACCATATTGCCCAAAGTGTATGGAATGAAATGACACTGCAAGGCATGTAATGTTGTAGAGGCCAATGCGAGAAAGATGACAAGTCAAGCTACAAGAGAAAGATTGACGTAGCACAATTTAATGAGGACAACCATTCATGCATTACATAACAACGTAACAGACGATTTTGACTGAGGCGTAGACAATTTTCTCGGTGCAATACCAGTACCAGTAACCCGGGGGTTTTAGTGCAATGAAAGTTCTACATCGATTTTGGCTGTTAATGATTTCCCACACTCAAAAAAGCATACACATACAATCTCCCACTTATATAAAATGAAAATAAATTCACATGCTTTAATTTATAAGAACTTGTGTAGAAAGAAAATCGGCACAAGATTTTCATTTTTTTTTTTTTTTGTTTTTGGTATACTTGCTTGTTTAAAAGAAATTATTTGTAACTAACCAGGTCGTGTTATTCGTCCCACATTAAAGCGATGAGTATAGTTGATTTTGAAATACTGTTCGACTATCGCACGTTCAGCTTTACCCTCGCCATTGACAGGTGAAAATAAATATTCCGGATCGATTTGATACTTTAATTGTTGGTATCTGCAATAAAATATATTGTCTTATTAATTGGCGTAATTGAAGTAAAATTACAGCTTGTTTAACTTGCCCGGTCATGCATAACATTGATAGCAATATAGGAACAATTATAAAATATCCTGGATATTTCGCTATAAATATGCCCAGATGGTAAAATGTTTTATTTAAAATTTTATCCACGCAAGATATGCCACAAGCCATCTGAAATAAATAGAAAGAAAAAATGTAAACAACAACAAACTTCTTTTATTTATACATGTAGATATAACGGTTGATGAAAATATTGAGCGAATTTTTGTAAATATTTGATTAAAGCTTCGGGATGACAGTAATTTCTTCCATTTCCTTTTACAATATGTGGAGATGAAAATAGAGCATATCCGACAAGGAAATAATTAAGAATTTCGGTGGATCTACATTTCTATAATGATCCATTGATGAATTCTTACCCGGAATGATGCTAATGATTGCATCAATAATTCATTCAATTTTTACATTGTATCCTCCCGAGTTTTGCGTTGAATCAAGAGAGAGATCAAAGTCTCCTAAGCATGTTTATAAAGCATTAAAGCAATTGACAAACAACGCATGCGCCATGGCTTTTTAAATTTTACAGATGCGCCAAGATTTATAAGCTTTGTCCTTGGAAAAATGTAGAGTTTAATCATAATAGTATACTCGCTCACACAAAATGAGTTCATTTTCCTTACTTTGGAAGGAATATTGTATTTTGGTGTGACAGAAACATTTATACCCTTGCTCTTGAGAGAAATGACAAGGAAAAGAAACCAAAAGGATAAATTTTGATAATCTATAATATCGTTTGCGGGTGCGGCTATAGTAGATGTGGAAAGGTCTGTCACAGTGCCAAGCCAATTATTCTTTGACTGATTTGACCCGTTTTCAATACTAAGCTATCTGGAAGGTCATGCAATATCTTTGGCGAATTGACGCCGGGTAGGCTTGCCTAAGACAGATAGACAGCCGGACTGATATGCTTCAATTGATTTGATGTTGATCAAGAATATACATATACCTAGGCATTTTGAGGTCTCTAAAGCTTTTTCTAGATGTTGTAAGCGTTTCGACAACTGAACCTTCCCAACAAGAAGCGATTTATTCCTTTGTTTCCTTTTCTTAAAGTCGATAAAAAGAAAAAATGTTCAGCTCTCTTAGCAAAGCGAACGTTTTTGTGTTTGAGCTCCCTGATTCCCAACAACAAATCAAAAATGCAGTACTGACATGACTAAAAATTAATTAAAAAACCGTTTAAGCGAAAAATCGATGGTAGAATTTCAAGTTATGCCTTATTGGCTTGTAATGCCATATTTTCTGGAATGGACGCGTAGACGTGGTCTGTAAGAAGAAATCTAAACCACGTCTTGTAAAACTGCATGTCAATCGGATGATTTGCTTTTAAAGGTATTGGCAATATTATCCTCGCTACTGTCAAAATAACGGGAAAATTCAAATTTCTTGCCTTAGTGGCTTTTTAATATAGCAAATTACTTTTATAACTCGGCGTTGGATTGGAAAATGTTAAGGTAACACTTCTTCATGGACAACAATGATCTGTCAATGGTCATTTGGAAAGCAATCACACAAACATCGATGATGCCCTTCGACGCCTTGCTTGGATACTAACAAAACATTTAGGAAAGCAAATTTTCAGAAAATAGTTGACTATTCACATTGTCTGAAAAAGCTATCTTCCAAGATGGATGGTAGCACTCGTTGTGAGCCTTGTCACAAGATTGGCTGCTGTGCTGGCACATCTTCAAAGAATGCTCTAAGAAAAAAGTTTGGCGTCATAAAGCCAGTGCAGAAAGTGAAACGTGTTTGAAGCAAATCCGTATTGACAAATATTGACTTATGTGTTTTGCATTCGACGGCTGGTAAGTTAATTTGATTGCCGCTAAAAAGTAGAGAAAGTTATTTACTTAAACTGATGATTTCAAGGTTAGTGTCAAGTGTTTTTTTTCTTTTACATCATATGTATAATAAAACGTAGACTTTATTTTTCAAAGAATGTAATTTCAATTTAATTATAATCAATTTTTCTGAAGCGAAACTAATTATTGCCCGCAGAGCGACAAAAATTTTCTAAAAATCATTTTTGTGATGAAACACTTGTACAAATAGTTTCATTTAAGTAAAATTACACTGACAATAAAATCCAAATAAAACCTTTTACAGCATTTATTGAAAGCGCTTTAAAAATAGGTCAATTGTGCTCTTCAATCTATAGCGTTTGTATCACTTATTCAATTTAGCAAATTGTTAAGCATTTCAAGTATGTTAACGGATTACTTGATCTTTAACCTTTACAGCAGCTTTACGATTTTTATATATATGCACATATATGAAACCAAGACCTTGCAATCGCCGCTATTAAATATACCATCAAGTGACGCTTACTTAGTTGTTAGTTAGTTGCTACTGTTTAAAAACATAAAAACATTTATATAAATAATAATAAGTTATAAAATATTCTGTACGTGAAACGATAATCAATAATAGAAATCGGCGTAATTTGTTACTCTTAGCCATTGAACCATGAATTTAACATTAATCTTAAAAATCATCATATGCGTGTATGCAAATGTGCTTAACATGAACGCAATATTTTATTTAATTTATATAATAATTCATATGTTGCACAGGTGCAGAAAGTTATGCAGAAATTTTACATTTAAAAAATTGTATTACAACTATGTAAAATGAAAAAACAAATATTAAAAAAAAAAAAAAAAAAAAAAAGTGAAAACTTTTGTAGTTGGGCACGGTTGCCCTTCAATGCCCACTAAAACTGCGCCTGCTATAAGAATTTAATAAAAGTTAATTTAAAAAAAAAAAAAAATTCTTATTGAGGAGAGGATTCAAAACGTGAATCAACATTGTTTAAAGTGAGTACAGTGAACATCTTTTGTTAAGGAATTTTTAATTTTTCATTTATCATATTTGGTCATAAAATATAAAAATTTATGCCTATCGTCAAAATTTTAGGCAGTAACATCATTAGCTAGCTTAGGCTTATTTTCATCATAAATATACTTGCTCTTGTTTTTGTTGTCATTTTTACTAGAACATTAAACATCGGGCAAGGCTGACAATTAAATACTCTACACCTACTCCATAAGCACAATTATGCGCTCGTTTTAATAATAATGCACCCAAAATTACACATTATTTTCATTCAAAAGTATGCTTGTCATGAAAGCCCCCATCTTGGATGCTTAAAACATCATATGACGTTATCCAAATTTAGCAAACTTAATGTCCTTTCCAAAAATGTTATTATAGAAAACTGGAAATTATTCCGTATAAAGGCTTGCTTTTCGTGATAACCCTTATAAATGTTAGCGTCTAAAAAATAGACCTATGTAATCCAAATTCCCTACTCTCAAACTATTTCTCTACTTTGCATCAATTTTCATCAGAAAACTTTATAAATTAAATCATTTTCTGAAAAGATCTTACTACCCACGATAAATATCACATAGAGTGGGGTCCAAGAATTAAACCCTTGTAGTTCAAATTTAGTCCACTTCATTTGAATATCAAATTACTACTATGAACATATTCTCAACATAAAACGTTAACAATGAAGCCTTGTTGCTTTAAACGGGTTTACATTTAAAATAGACCTACCTAGTTTAAGTTCGATAAGGTTCATTTTCTTGTCAATTTACTATTGTGAACCAATTTTCGCTATGAAATATTGAAAATGAGATCTTCTTACCATATATAGATTCAGTTTTCGTCTGACCGGTTAAATGAAAGGAGGTTCAAGAAATTGCCCAGCCGATTAAAAGTTCTTACATCAATTTACAATGCCGAAACACTACTACTGAGCCATTTTTACCGAAAAATTTTAAAAATTGCAATTTTTCCCCATATAACGACCCGAACCGTTTTCAAAAGCGTTCGTCCTAGAGCTAAAGTACGTCAAAATATATATATATATATATATAAAATTGCAACCTGCAGTTTGAACACAAATTTACATAGGCAAATATCAAACGAACGGACGTTCAACTATTTAGAAAATGAGTCTGAATCGATTAGTATAATAAGAAAGGGATCTATTTTAAGCATTTCTGGGTGTTACATACGTCCGAAATAACTTAATGTGCCACACAAGCGTTATAGGGCATAAAAAATGTATTTTCGATTCGACTTCGTCTGCTCAATCAAGTTAAAAAGTGTACTTGCGCTTGTTAGTGAATAGTGTTATTTTAAAAATCGTGTAAAAAAAGACCGTGCAACAAAGGATTTGGGTGTATATGTAATTCAGATAAAACAATTTTGTAAATTTATGAAATGCGAATTGCCCAACGCCTTTCAGCAATCGATACCCACATGTAGTTTATTATAAATATTTATAAAAAAAACTTGATTTGAAATAACAACAAATGTAAAGCAAACTGGTTATATGCTATGATACGAAAAATGTTTTATGCTCGTTAATAAATGTTTCTATTTTTTTCGTCTGAATAATCGATCGGTTCACAGAGATGATCTTGCAATGGCGATATTTAAACAATTACATTAAATGCTATTGGATCATGCCCACCTTTAAATTCAATTTGCCCTTAAACTTTCATTGGTATCGAGATTTCGAGAGTTTTCCATCAAATGGAAAATGGAAAAATTGAGCGTCACATATGAATGAAACGAGTTTGAATTGTTTTAATTTTATGACGAGTAAATGTATTTTGGATTCTTAATACAGGCCATTCACTTTTTAAGTTACAGTAATTCTCTATATAAACTAAGGTTACAGTGTTTCGCTATAAAAACTAGCTTGATTTCTAAATTCTCATCTTTGTATAGCATAGAGTACCGTTGCTTCTTTCTTATCAGCATTTTCATCTAGGAAATGCCTTTTATGTAAAACGAAGGTAAATGCAAGATAGTTACTCGTAGCAGAAATCCGTTCTAATGGGCTTAAAATGAAATTAAAAAATATACGAATTAGTTGCAAGAAAAAAATTAAAAATCTTTACTATTATCCGCCATTTTATCCATTACAGTTATCTAAGGAACAACCACCACCTGTGTGCAACACCACGTACAACTTGGGAATGATCCATTTTTTACTACATCGATCGATTTTGATTGATTTCCTGTATTTTTGATTTAGGCCCGCCTGTCCGTTTAATTTTGTGTTTAACCTGCAAGACATAAGTTTCGGGACA